CATAGAAACATATGGCAAGAAGATGGGGAGGCATGTAGCAAAAAATAACAAATATGTAGCCAAAAAAAAGGCCCTGAAAACAGGCTGATGTAAAAGACAGTCTTTACAGTTAATACAGTCTTTTGAACAAAGACAAGCATTTTACCCTACTGCTATAAAATGTAGTACAGTTAACATTAGATGTTAATTAACCAAGATAAAAATGAACAATTTTCAATCAATACATCAAAATCAATAGACCGACATCACTAGATGGAGGAAGTCTCTCTAGAAAGTTACTTTTCAGCCTCTTAACAAAAATGAGAACACACACACACCCACCCACAGACACACCCACCCACCCGCACACACACACGATACCGACCTGTGGCGTACACAGACAGCCAGGGCCGGCGATTCCTATAGGCCAGCTAGGCAATTGCCTAGGGCGACAAATGTGTTGGGGGCGCCCTCTAGCGTCGCCCTTAGGCTTACTTCCCATTAATCATAGAATTAGAAAAAAAAGCGAATTAAACCGGTTATGAAGCGTCCGTCAGTTTGACTTAACCTTACGTATATATAAATAGCAAAATATGAACAAATAAATATACCACCGTTTTTTTTTATTATTTTTTCACATTTAAGAGAAAATCGGAAAAGATTCTGATCACTTTTCAAGCGCCCTCCAACCCGGAAGTCGTGACGTCAGAACGGGAGCGTTCACGCTGGTCTACTGCACTAAATGCGATAACCAAAACGAGAAATCTGAAAACAAAATTTCGACTTCAACCGAGCGATTCCTACCAGGAGACCATTCTGATGTATCGGAGGAAGAATATTTGTGTCTGGAGCCTCACATGTTCGACCCAGATGTTTCAGATGAAGAGAAGGCACCGGACGAACAACAGCGAGTCGGACAATGAGTGGAGATTGGACGTCAACAGGTGTTATGCCCAAAAGTGCATGCCTGCCAAAATATGCATCCCCAGTCGCGGGAGCGCGCCTCGCTCTGTTGAACTGCATATTGACGAGGAAAACGGATTAAAATATGTTCAAACGAGCTTAGGTTCTTATATTAATGATATAAAAACGTTTAAAAATACCTCTCGTGGGAAAAAAGTTTTGGTTATTTGGCAGATTAATTTACAAAAGTACGGATTTTTTGAACAACATTAAATCCAAAGATTTTGACCATGGAACGGCTGATTTATTTGTTGTGGTCTCTTGTTATTTACACACAGAACTAAACCGTGATAGCCGACGTGAGTTTGGAGTTTGCAAAGGTTTCTCTTAATTGGAAAATCAAACCCGCATCTGCACAGCACAGCATTCACAGACCAGTGAGATGCGCGTCAGAAAGCTATGGTGCATTCAGGAGCATTGGAACATTTTAAACTTACAAGAATGAGGCATAAAACAGAACTGTATTTTACTGAACTGTATTGTATTTTTTTTTGTTTTTGTTTATGCATCTCACTGGTCTGTGAACGCTGTGCTGTGTAGATGTGCGTTTGATTTTCCACTTAAGAGAAAGCTTTGCAAACTCCAAACTCACATTGGCTATCACGGTTTAGTGTTGTGTGTAAATAACAAGAGACCACAACAAATAAATCAGCCGTACCATGGTCAAAATCTTTGGATTTAATGTTGTTCAAAAAATCCGTACTTTTGTAAATTAATCTGCCAAATAACCACAACTTTTTTCCCACGAGAGGTATTTTTAAACGTTTTTATATCATTAATATAAGAACCTAAGCTCGTTTGAACATATTTTAATCCGTTTTCCTCGTCAATATGCAGTTCAACAGAGCGAGGCGCGCTCCCGCGACTGGGGATGCATATTTCGGCAGGCATGCACTTTTGGGCATAACACCTGTAGATTAGATGAATGGTAGGACAAGTTTTTTCTTTTAACAGTTCAAACATTTTTTTTGTATGTTGACATCATTTTTTTCTCAGTATATATGCAGCAGAATTATGTGCTATATTATTAGCTTGAGAATGGGTAGAAGATACTAATATAAATAAAATATTTTGTAGTGATTATCTGCATTGAGTATTCAAAAGGGATGTACAAATAATCATCAAAATGGGCTTGCACTGATGAGCATCAACCAAGAGGTCTCAAATAAAATCTCATTTGATGATACCATCAACGAATTTGCCATTAGGAAGTCCAGACGAGTCAAATTTTAATGCTGCACCAATTTTGAAGGTGAATAGAAATACCTGAAACAACTGATAGATAGAACTACAAGAACTTCAAACTTTTAATTTTGTAATGGTATTCATAAAAGCACTTTTGTTTGTAAAGGGTTAATCCTTTCTTTAATCACTAATCAATGTCAGAAATCAGGGTAAATATACCTGATATATTTTATTTAGAGGAAAGTTTTGTTTATCTCATTTCTATTTATGTTCAAATGATTTAATTGAACTGGAACGGAAAATTTAATTTAATGTTTATCAATTACTTTTTTATGTAGTCCTTGGTTGAAGAATTTCTTAAATTTATTATTTTTTATTGTTATTTGGTAATTTCTGAAATTGATTTATTTAATATTTGTTTAATGTGTGTTAAATTTGTTAATTGTCTGAAATAAATTCATTCATTGATTCAATCCAGTTTTTTAGTTATACTTTACCTAAGTGTCCTTACAGATGGTTAAAAGTGTTTTTGCACAGTCCTAACTTTGAGTGTGTAATAAATTATTTAAAATAATAAAAAAGAAAAGGTACTGAAACCTATTCTGGTATTTGTCTATGCATCACTCCATGCTAAGTTACATTTTTTTCTGAATGCTTAAACACAACCTTGATTCTTATAGCACAATTTCTAAAACTATTAATACTTATAGCAAATCCACTCACTGAGTTCACAAAACTAAAAGAACAAACATTGCTTTGCACTCAATTTGCAATTTTGTAACACACTTTGCACAACTGTAGGCACAATTCACCGCACAGCACTCTTTGTGGAACTGTAAACACAACACAATGAAGCACTAAACAGATGCTGAAAACAGTGCTGGTATTTCGCACGGCAAAAGTGTGGGGGGGGGGGGGGGGGGGGGGGGCGCGCAAAACTCAATCTCGCCTAGGGCAACCAAAGGGCTAGAACCGGCCCTGCAGACAGCAATAGTGCCGTAGCAGATTCCATTTCACCTCAGTAATCTGTTTTCTCAGCGTATTTCAGGTTGCTACTAGTTACCAGACACTCAACTTGTTTGTTGGTGGTGGGGCTTAAAGAAAAGGCAATAGCGTCACCCAGTGTATGAGCGTCTTTTTCCCTTGAGGAGCTCTCCGCTCTCGAAGCCTATGAGAAATGCATAGACTGGGGGGAAATAGCCCCGCCTTCCCGCAGGCTGCAGCGGGATGTACTTGGAAAATTGTACCATAAAACCACATAGCGTTAATCTCACGTTAAAAAAATTATCGCCGTTAAAATGGCCTCGCGTTAACGCGATAATAACGCGATAATTTTGACAGCACTAGTTTTTACATAACAAAATAAAAAAATACTCTGTTTTACAGCTGTATTTATAAGTTTGACTTAAGTTCTAGTTTGATTAAAACAGGTAATTTTCCCTTAAATGACTCAAAATTATGTAAATTCATGAATTATAAATGTACATTTGCCTGATACTCCAAACAAAAGCTTGATTTGAATATTTATATATTTGAGTAAATTTTTTGCTAAGCTAAGGGATTTCTTCTTTTTTAACGTTAATAAAAATGAACAAAAAGAAACAAAAATAAGTGATGACCAGCTTCAGAAGAGTTGATTCACTTGGTACACATAGATTTTTAATTAATCCAAATTGAAATGAAATTTTACTTCATGTGGCTCTCTTTAATATATTTGAATCCATTCCCCTGTTTTTGTTTCATACTTTTCTGTGCCCCAATGAATACATGCCGCCCACCCCCCTTATTATAAAGTATATAATTACTTTATATTATAGTCTGGCTGAATAAACCTGCAACACAATTTAAGCAGGCCAATGTAGTATTAATATAGTCAAATTAATCCACATTAATTCAATCTTTTTGTTTTCAATTAAATTCATTATTTATTTGGTAAAGATAGATTAAAATCAACAGAGTTTGGTCTGATTTAGTCTGTAGCAAGGTAATATATTTACCGATTAGAGAGTCTACAACATATTTTTTCTCTGTTACAAAAACAGAAGAACGGAGGAAAACTGATGCAAATACACAAACTAAACATGAGCTTTGATCGGTGCAAACTGGTATAAAATGTGAACGTTTGGTAATAAATCTAACATGAAACTCTTGCTGGAAAATTGGGTAATTTCTGAAGAAAAAAAATGTCTATAACTTAATTAGTTCATGATGATAAACTGTCTACGTTTGTTTCAGTATGAGGCAAACCAAGGGGTATATGATCATAAAGCTCTTCATATCCTGGACTTTTCCTTAGTTGTTGCGTCTTTTCCTTTTGTATTACATAAATGAACAGTAATACATCCTGGAAGCAAATAAAAAAGAATTCAAAGGATATTGAACAACTGGACATTCCAATTGATTAATCTAACTGTATATATATATTCTAGCCCTCCGCTTTAATCCAGTTCAAACTGTGTCGTTGAAACGCAGTAAAGAGTGAACAAATGAAGCTGGGGGGCTGCTGACCCCCCCAGGAAGCAGGGGTCCGATCCAGGCTCGAAACCTTTCAAACCAGTAAGCTGCGGTCGCTGTTGCAACACATTATCCTGGACAAGAAGTCACAGCGATGCGGGCAGGGCAATAATCCGCCACAAATGGATACAATGTTTCCGCTTTGCACTCGGGACTATTTCGCAACAAAGCAACTATTGCGCACCGCCGTCTCAGCCACTCGCTGCTGTGCGCGCGCACGCATACAAAAAAAAAAAAAAAAACACACATGCACACATCCGTAAAGCAGGATAAAATAAAAGGGTAGAAGCGATACTTTAAAATCGGCGTTTGTTACGTAGAAAGTCAGAGGTGGGAGCCTGAACACCACCGAGGCCTACCTGCTCCTCTTCCGCCGATAAAATAGCTGCCATGATTCCTGGTCAAGCCTTCCACGGACGTGTCCTTCTCATGAAGTAGGAGATGACGGCGATGTCTGCCTGTCTGCTCGCTCCTCCTGTTCACAGACGGACTCGTCAGGGGCCGTCCCTCGCCCCCAGAGCTGAAGGCATATGGAAGGGCGCAGTGAGCGGGCGGAAGGTTTTTATTTTCTCTTGATGCTGCGATCCACGCGGCTCAATCAGCACGAATCTGCCATCCAAACTCGAGAGGAGAGGCGGGGGGCGCGCGGGTGTTCAGTCAGATTTGAGCTAGGAGGAGTAAAATCAGGCAGGAGAGAGAGAAAGGGAGGGAGAGAGAAAAGTGACGACCAGCTTTAGCAGAGTTGATTCAAACCGGATGATGTTCCGTTCTTCCAGCTAACCTGAGCGGCCACAGGCTGCAGCTGTAAGGCTGGCTCCTCCATCCCATCAATTATAGGGGTTTATCCCTATAATATAAGTCGCATTTGGCCTGACTGAGAACTACCAACACACACAGTAGCGACAAGTAAAATATACTGTTGGCTTCATTTCTATGTTGCTGTACCCCCCTGCTGGTTGGGACTAGAACATTTTAATAGATCACTGACCTGGGCGTCATTCATAAATAGTAAAAACAAGCTGAGGAGCCCGGCTTTGAAAGATGAAACAAAATATAAAAACATCATAAAGCTGTTCTGGCTGAAAAGATTTATAGAGCTGTTCAACTTATTCCTGTCACTCCCCTCAGAAAACAATCAATTGATAATTAACAACATCATTAACATTATGAAAATTAATAAGAGAGATGATTTCTCTCCTATTCTAACTTCCAGAATATAGTTTAAACCCCTCCTTCTCACATATAAAGCCTTAAATGGCCAAGCAGGTTTACTAGGGGCTCCTAGAATTTCTAAAAGTAGAATGGGAGGCAGGTATTTTAGTTATCAGGCTCCTCTCCTGTGGAACCAACTACCAGTTTTAGTCCGTGAGGCAGACACCCTGTCTACTTTTAAGGCTAGGCTTAAAACTTTCCCTTTTGTTACAGCTTATCGTTAGAGTGGTTCAGGGTATCCTGAGCTATCTCTATAGTTATGCTGCTATAGGCTTAGACTGCTGGAGGACATAGGGACCCCTTTTTCATCATTCTGCTTCATTCTGTCTCTATTCTTTCATACTGCAGAATTTGTTAGTTCAATCTCTAAGGTTCTGCTCTCTGTGATTTTTCTCATAGTAGCTTCATCTGGTCTGTTCCTGTTTGGCTGTGACTCCATCCTGGAGAGAAATATCAGCTGTGCTGCTGCCATCAACATCTTTGTTTATAGATGTTGGAGCTTGGCCTGTTTATCAGTGTAGCCTTGTTTCTTTGACTGTGACTTTATGTGCTCTCTTCATCCTCTGACATGGGAGCTGGCTCGGAGCTCGTCTGCCTGGCTGTGTGTTTCCTGGACGGGGCTGCCTGTGGAGCTGGTTTACAGTTGCCTTTTGTATCTCTGCTTATTTTTCTATGCCTGCTTCTGTGTCCTTGAACCCCAGTCGGCCTCAGCAGACAGCCGCTCACACTGAACCTGGTTCTGCTTGAGGTTTTTTTCCTGTTCAAAGGGAATTTTCCTCTCCACTGTCATTACAAATATGTTTGGTGTGAGGGATTGCTTTTGAGTCGAATCAATGAGTCGATGCAGTCAGCTGGTTTTCCTTAGATAGAAAACTTTGGACCAGTCTGACTATGATCTTGTTGAATAATCTCTGTAAAGGGCCCTGAGATTACAAGTGTTGTGCAGAGATGGCAAAAGTACTCACTTTCCGTACTTGAGTAAAAGTACAGATACTTGTGTTAAAAAATACTCTGGTAAAAGTGGAAGTACTGATTAAACTTCTTTACTCAAGTAAAAGTAACAAAGTACAGGCTTGTAAATTTACTTAAAGTATAAAAGTAAAAGTAGAAACCACTTTTTTCATGCCGTTGCCTACATTTTAAATGGATGTCTGCCAATAGGACTAGATCTCCGTTGTGTTCATTTTCAATCATCTCGTCGTCCATGCTACTATGCTAACGCCACCGCCACCAAGCTGCAATGATTTGCCGCCAATGAATACCGCCGAATCTGTCGATTCATCTTGTAGTGGTGCGTCAAATGCAACGTAGATTCCCATCCAATTAGATTGAATTTGGTATTGATGACGTGAAAAATAATAACGGTAACTCCATTGAAATGATTAAAAACTAAAGTAACGAGACAATTTTTTAAAATGTAAGGAGTAGAAAGTACAGATATTTGTGTACAAATGTAAGGAGTAGAAGTAAAAAGTCGCCATAAAAATAAGTAGTAAAGTAAAGTAAAAATATCACAAAAATCTACTTGAGTACAGTAACGAAGTATTTGTACTTCGTTACTTCCCATCTCTGGTGTTGTGAAAGGGCGCTATATAAATAATCTGAATTGAATTGAAGGTATGAATTCAGTCACAACATTTTTCCTGATCACTGCTTTTGAAATCAATACTTTTCGTAGGTGTATATTTGAATAGCACAGCCTGCTTCCAACGACATTACACCGTTTACTGTATATTTACTTGGCTTCATGATTGAGAACCATCGTGTAAAAAATAACATTAGAACAATTAGGTTAAAATTTTTCAAAGCAAGTTTAAACGCAACACAAACTGGTGCAATTATAGATAAATATGTCAACCAATCATAAATTATAATCAAGTAAAAGTAGCAAAACTTTAAAATGCTTTTACCCAAGCACATTGAACAGTATTGTGTCATAAAACTACTCATGGTAGATTTTTCTTTTTAAGTCACTTTAGTAAATAGATTATTTATCAGGTTATGTTTACCCCAACAGACATGTAAGCGATCAGCATCTTAGTTCTGAGGAGAGAAGATTAAAGTTATGGAGGAATCAGCCAGACCTATAATTCAATGGGAAACATGTAACAATGCAAGGAATGAAGAGGAATTACACAATATACAAACAGTGGTTTACAGTGTATAAAGCACATTTTATACAATTGAATTATCCTTTTCCTTCTTTCTTCCGGATCATTGACAAATTTAGCAAATTTTGATGTTTTTTGTGTTTGAAGATCAAAGGTTTTAGAAACTTTCTTTTAAATGTAACGCTATAGTGTTAAAGACAACCTTACCACAATCGATACACTTTTAAAGTCTGCATCATGGCACCATGTCCAGCATTATTCAACAACATTACTAATGCACGAAACCTGGCTGATTGGAAGTAGCCTGTTTTATGAGTTTGTCTTTCTGTAATAGGATATTACAGTGAATGAAGTTTAATTAAGGAAATTCTCTGCTCACGCATCCCTAAGGCTATAATCTAAATTACAGGAATCGTTTGACAGGAATAAAAAAAAAAACCCAAACAGTGTGATAAAGCTGATGTAAGACGAGCCCAAAGGCTGCTGATAAACTGTATTTTATCACGAGGTTCAGTGAGGATGTTACATTTCCTGAAAGGCTGTTATTGGTTTGGCCCTCAGGTCACACTTTATTTTAACAAGACCATAAAAGTAATGTGATGCAAAACAGGTTTCAAACTGCCTTACACTGCTTTCACATGTTGCTGGAGAGCAATTGTCTGGGGGGTTTTTTCATGAAAAGTTGACAATGTCAAGTACACCCAATATGTTTATTTTGCTTTTCCACAAAAGACAAAATCCGAAAATACCCGAATTGTAAATAAGGAGGCGTGGGAAAGTCTGGCTTGAAAACATGAGGGAAGAGGGAGTGGAAAACAATGGACTTCCTGTCAAAGTGGCCCATCCCACATCCTTGAAGGGGAAATGTGATTGGTAAACCAATGATAAAAAAAGAGAGAGAATACATTTATAAAGAATCAGGGAAAAATAGGCTTCATTTCACTGATAGGCAAAACATCAGAGGAAAACAAAATGGAACAATTTAGGATAATTATTACAGTTATTGGACACATACTACAGAAGGTTTACATGCAATCAACAAACATAAATTTATTGAATTATTTGTTCACCCATAAAATCAAAAAAAAAAAAAAAATGAATTTATATGCTTAAACCACTTTGATGGACACAAATGTCTAAAATTGAGCTCCTCGACACCAACATGGTTTCTACAACCTTTGTGGAAGAAAAAGGTACAAATTCCAACACCTAAACATATGTTTTTATTGACAGTTATTTTAGCCCACAAGTTGTAGGTCCTGAACCTGTGGGGGAAAACAAGACAGAAGTCCAGTTGAGATTTTTCATCAGCACTAAATATTCCAGCATAAATGGTTAATGGTTTTTGGTGATCGGAAATCATTGCAACCCACGTATAGTGTCAGCAAATTGACTATCTGATTTGAACTTCGTAGGAACTGGTTAAAGATGGCTGCCCTTCCTGCAATAACATTTCTTGTCCTCTGGGGACAGAACAAGGTCCTTTAATACATGGATGAGTGAGTTTCGTGTGGAAGACCTTTAATGGCATGCACAAAGACTTGACCTTAACCCACCTTTAGCATGAGCTAAAGACTGCCAGCTAGCCCTTACTTTACGACATCAGTGGCTGACCTCACAAATGCGCCTCTGGAAATAAAAAGAGTATAAATGACGCCCTAATCATTTAAGACTTCCCAAAGAAACAATTGAATTTCTTTAATCACACATAGGAGAAATTTACCTCTGCATTTAACTCATCAGTTGCTCTAACCAGTAGACCAACACTCCCTACAAATAGTGTTTCTTTATTTCCAGAAATAGACTTAGACAGATTTTGTAATTTTGTTTACACAAGTGTAAAAACAAAAAGAAATTTTGTTTGCAAACAGCTCTCTGACAATTTCATCTTTTTTAAAAGTGCAGCCTTGAACAATAGTGAAAATGACAGTACATTTACAGTTCTAAAAATTTTTTTGTGTCGTTGGAATGGTTGGAAACACAAAACTATAAACTAAATAAAGGTTACTCTCTATTAGTTTTGAACCTTGTTTGGGTATTTTGAATCACTGACCTTTGAGAACACCACATTTTAATGATCCAGGTGTATATTGAAGCTCCAGCTGAGTTAATCCTCCGCCATCATATTTCACCATTGTTCCCATTTATTTCTAGCAGAAAAGTGGCCAGACAGTATGATGGTGCCACCATCATGCTTTGAACCGCATAAATAAAGCTAAAGACATACATATTTAGACATCAAATAGAGCATAAATTAACCAACCAACCTGTATGAAAGTTTTAATAATTCTGTTTTAGGGATAAATAATTTAAGCAAGTTTACTGACATGTGGCAGTTTTTTTGTTTACATTTCTGTTAAGCTGTTATAAAATGTATGTTTGTAATGCCAAAAACTTTACTCTGCTTTTTCTCATCAGATATCCTGTTTTGACAGGTGCCTGGAAAGGTGCAGTTTACAGGGTTTTTACACAGAAAAGATAGAAAGCTCAAAAACACGTGAGCGTATGTGTGGGAGACGCCAATGAAGCAGCTGTGAATCAACAGGTGCTGATTTCCTGGAAAGTAAGGGCTGCCTCTGAGTCATATCTGAATTCCTGCAATAACCACG